GCCCGACAGAGCAGGAAGCAGAACCAGACTGCTCCACAGTAGACCCCCGAGCCCCTGCCAAACCACAAAGACACCAACATCAATTGTGGAAGTGCTAGAGCTTTCCGACTAGGGAGCCCACCCTGAGAGCAGCGCGATGCCCATGTGAATCTGAGCATTCACAGCCACTGTCAGACCATCAAAACAAGGGGAAACTGGGCAGGACACAGGAGGGGCCCGGGCAGCCTGGGCGCCCGAGAATCTGCTGTGGAGAGCATCCCTCCCAGCCTGGAGAATAAACCCGTCTAATTCATTTTGGGGTGCTGCTCGCCTAGTAGCTCGGGTTGAACGGAGGAAGTCCTTGTACACACAGCACTTACTCACGTTTCCACCCACGGCGGCCACCCCAGACACAGGCAGACAAAGCATCTACATGAGCAGGACTCAGCTGGCCCATGCAGGAGACCACGCGGCCATTGCGCTAGAAAGGAACTGCGCAGTCAATCCACCTCAAGGTCTGCATGCAAACCCACACCCACGCCTGCTGCTGCTGAGTTCATTCCCAGGCAGGGCACCCTCACCGGGCAGAGAGGACCTGCCCCTGTGGGCTTCTGGGACGAATTCTTTATGGGAGCATCTCTTGTTCAAGGAGCCGCTGGTGGGGGTCAAACCACCTTCCTGTCAGTCGGTGGCCCAATGCTTAACTCACTGGGCCACCAGATCTCCCCCAAATGATCAGAGTCCTCTCTCCTCCTCTGTCTAGGGCAGGGGTCGAATCCAGGGGCATCATCTCCACCAGCAGCAGGGGCAGAGCAGGACTCAATAGTACAGGCTACAGCATCTCCTCTCTTGCCACATTCTCATTCTCTGGGTCTCTTCCTTCTAGTCCCGAGGGATGCAGAGTGGGCACACTGGCTTCTAACCCAAAGACTGGAGATTCAAGTCCCCCCCAAGTGATCTCAGGATAAAGATCCTGTGATCTCATTCTGGAAAAACACTTCGGAGCACTGTTCTACTTTGACACATAGAGGGGCTGTACGGTGCAGCCAACTTGACAGCAGTCGGTCTGGTCTACATCTCCTCTGCTCCCTCCCCCTCATCTTATTCTCGCAGCCCACCTCTCTCTCCCAGCGCTGACTTAACACCCGTTACAATGGGAAAGCCTGGAAGGGCGGTGAAGGGAATGTGCAGTGTCCCACCATGCTCTGGTGCCCACAGTCTGGTTCAGTTTGAGACCTGCTTTCCTCAGCCAGCCTGGGAACATTACTTGGTGGGATCAAAGACAAACAGGAACAATGCTGATTAGACAGCATTGCCCCCTCACGTTTACCATCCACTTAAGATTCTCGTTAAGAAAAATCATCATGGTTTGCGCAACCGGAATTTATCCTTGCTCTCCATCTTCTAAGACTCCTTTGAACCCTGCTTTCCCTTCTCTGAAGCATAGCTCGCTTGTGGCCCCTCAGCATCTCCCCAGGGAAGAAGCCTGAAAGTGCCATGGGCCGGCCGTGAAACGGCCAAACCGGTCTGTACTGGGAGAAAGAAGGCCAGAGTGCGCCTTCCAGGCAGGGACAGCAAGACGCTGTCTTCTAGACTTTGGCTGTAGCGTCAAGAGAGACCAGTCCCTGGAGAAGGACATCATGCTTGGTCAAATGGAGGGGTGGGCACAGAGGAGGGCCCTCGAGGAGATGGATGGACACAGTGGCTGCATCAGTGGACTCAGGCATCGGAAGGATGGCGAGGATGACGACGCAGGACCGTGCGCGTTCAGTCCTGCAGTGCGCATGGTCGGTCCTGCAGTGCGCATGGTCGGTCCTGCAGTGCGCATGGTCACGATGGGCCGGAGCCGACTCCCTGCCTCACAAGGCCTTCGGCACAGTGAATTCCTCTGCCTACAACACTCTGATCCCCACTTTCACGTCTCTTATCTTGTCTGCCTATCAGACTCAACATCCCCTCTTCGTCCCTTATTACCCCATCGGATTTTCTTCACAGCACTTACCACGCTGTTTGTATAAAAAAGTAAGTAAGTGGTAAGCTCTCCGAGGGCAGGGCCTTTGCCTGCTTCGTTCACTGCCGGCACCAGACCAACAGCTGGTACAGAGTAGGCATTTAATTGTGGTGGTGAATTGTGTTGACTTAGCTACACTGTGGTTCCCAGTGGTTGGACCAAATATCAGTCTAATTGCTGTTACAGAGTTTTTACATATGATTAAATCACTTGGCTTTAAGCAATAAGGCAGATTGTCTTTCATAATGTAATCTAGCTAACCATGCCGTTGAAGGTCTAAGAACCAAAAGGGAGTTTCACAGGGTGCGTTCTGCCTCTAGGCCACACAGAGGTACTTGGTAAAACTCTCCCCCCATATTCTTCCTGTTGTCTGACTTAAGGAGCTTGGAACACAAGCTGTCAGGGGTCTGCAGCCTAATATGTGACCCATGCAATTTGGATGTGCCAGCCCTCTGCACTGTGTGAGCCAACTCTTTGAAGCAATCAAGCCCAAGACCTCGTGAGATTACCTTCACTGCCATCAAGTTGCTTCGGACTCACAGTGGTCCTTATAGGGCAGAATAGAACTGCTCCGTGGGGTTAATGAAACTAAGTCTCCTGGGAGCCAACAGCCAGCCTCGTCTTGCTTCTGCTGAGGGGCTGGTAGGTAAGCGCCATGAACAACACAATTTGACAGTCCAGCACTTAACCCACTGCACCCCAGGGCCACTTTAGGAGAGTATTGGGGCTGGCAAATCAAGACCCCGTGTGTCAGGGGAAAGACCAGAGGCTCTTGTAGGCTCGCAGGTTTTACACACACACACACACACACACACACACACACACACACCCTCACACACGAGGGGCTTCAACACAGACAGCTCCTGGGAAAATCCCATTATTTTTTCATTCCATGAAGCCAGACACACATATACATATCTATCTGGCTCTGTTTCTTCAGAGAGCTCTAAGACGTTGATGTGAAAAATGATCTCAAATTTTCTCAAATGTTTTCAGTGGGCTTCTTTTGCCCAGGCACCCCAGGGCAGAAGACAAATCTTACTATCCTGTTGTCGTCTCTGCTCTTGATGTCAGCTAGTCCAAAGAATTAGGGGGTTCTGATGTAGTCAGTGTTGTAACATGAGCCTTGTCTAGGAAAAAGGTTAATCCTTGGGTTAGCCACTGCCGCTCGGGGTGCGTTGATTTGGGATCGTGACTCATTCGATTGCCTGGAGAAGGACATCATGCTCGGTAGAGTGGTGGGGCAGTGACACAGAGGAAGGCTGCCTCAAAGGGCCAAGACATGTGAGGATGGTACAGGACTGGGCAGTGTTGCCCTCTGTGTACACAGGCTCGCCATGAGCCAGAGCCAACTTGATGGCATCCAACAGCAACAACAACAACAAGGCTTAAATCAAGTTCCTTGAATCAGTGTCTTCTGGTTGTTTCTGTAAGTCAGAACTGGCACAACGGCAGCGAGCTTGTTTGCTTTCTATCTCGACACTCCCGGTGTTTTATTTGTGTCTGTACTTTTATCTGTGTCTTACTGTAAATCACTTAAAAACAGATACATGAACAATTTCTGGTATTAGAGGCAAGGAATTCATATAAGTCAACTCCCCATCCTCCAGTGGGGCCCACATCCAAGTCAAACAGGATTTTTGCTCAGCTATTAAAGGTTTCAGGGGAAATCACTTCCCTTCAGCTTCCTATCTAAGTCATCCCAATGTCTCTCAACCTTTATATTTTCCCCTCAAGGGAAATGAAGGCAGCTATGAGCACGAGCCAGGCTCAAATGCTTTAAGAAGATTGATGAAACTGGTATCACACACACACACACACACACACACACACAAACACAAACTCATACGCTTATAAACACATCCGTCTACTCTCCCACACTTATCCACTCATACATATAACTTCACATTCACACACACTCAGAAACACTCATACAGACACACACTCATACACTCTTACACACATGCACATCCCACCCCCCATGCACACACTCGGTGTCCTTACCGACGTAGCCTGGGGTCCCACAGGCTGTGGACATGACATCTCCTTTACCCTCCATTTTTGACAATCCAAAGTCACTGATCATGATTTTCGACTCCTCCTCTTGACTGTAGTACAGTAGATTTTCAGGCTGGAAACAAAATAAGAAACAACCCAACTGGGGTTAAAGCTGGGCTAGTTGTGGGAACCTACAAAGCCCAACTCTACAATCTATTATAGACATTTAAGAACAGACCTGCCCTTTTCACCTGTCGACACATCAATAAAAACCATGCGACATCAAAGCAATGTCTGGGGCGCTGGGCAGGAGCTGGTACACATACACGTGCAGTGAGTATCCGCCCCTTTTCCCTGGTTTCTCTAGTTTAAAATGTTCACAAGATGGTGAGGCAAACGAGGAGGCCATCCCCTGGCACCCTTGTCCGCTGACTTCTCACACCGGGGGAAGCAGGGTGGCCAGGAGACCAAAGCAGTGTTTCAGGTGCTGCCGTTCCTGAGCGCCGTCTGGTTGATGTGGGCTCCGAGCCACCCTGCAGGAGTGAGAACTGCCCGCTGTCACGTCCATGGGAGCACGTCCCCAGGTCTTTCTCCATTTGGAGCCTAATCCCGTGGTTCTCAGCTAGGAGCCATTCTCCGCCCAAGAGACATTTAGCCATCTCTGGGGCATTTTTCGCTGTGACAGCTCTGGGGGTTTAACTGGCACCTAGTAGGTGTGCTCTGAGGAGCCCTGGTGGCCTAGTGGTTATGTGCTGGGCTAGGGTCTGCAAGGTTGACAGTTTGAAACCACCAGCCTGACCCATGGAGAAAGATGGGGCTGTCTAGTCCTGTAAGCAGGTCCAGTCTTGGAGACTCCCAAGGGTAGTGCTGCCCTGTCCCATAGAGGGTCGCATGAGTGTCCACTGGCTGGCTGGCAGGGAATCTGGTTTTGGGGTGGGTGCTAATAAGCATCCGACAGGGTGCAGAAAGCCCCTCAGAACAAGGAACGCGCTGGCCCAACATGTCTCCAGAGCAGCGAAGGAGCTCCTGTCCCCATCCAGGGAGCCAGTAGTGGGCACTGCCCGCCTCAGTCCCTCCCAAAAAACAACTGATCATCTCTGGTAGCTTTTTCCGCCAACAGAGCCTAAGATCAACTTTCTAGAGGAAGAAAGAGGTACGTAAGTGGGGGCACTTCAAACAGTACATGGAAAATTCCATTATCCTTCATCCCAGTTTTCTAGGGTCTTTTTGAAGCCCACCATAGACATCAGGGGAGCACCCCACGTTGTCTATTCATCTTACATTAACATGCGCACATTCTCCATTGTGCTAGTCTGGACGATTATAGAGGTTGTTTGGTTTTTTTTGAATGTTTATGGAAATGTAAAGTTCCAAACCCAACTTCCTCCACATGGACCAGACTCCTTGGTGTCTCTGCAAAGAGATTGCCCAAAGGTCCTAAACTGGCAGTGTTCTTTGCAAAATCACAAGGCTGGTGATCCTCACGTTCCCCAGGCTGGGAGTTGCAAGTACTTCTCCTAAGAATGATGGTGGAGTACACAAAACCACTATCTCCCAGACAGCCCATTTGCCTTTCTAATGGGCAATAAATGCTTCCCCTCTAGGAAATGGCTTATCTGCTTAGAAATTATTTCTAATAGGAACAAACAAACAGCCCACTCACACCACATCTCTGTGGCCATCACACTAACTAGTTTAGAAAAGGCTGCCTACTGCGTTTCAAAAGCACAGTACTGGCATTTGGTGGCAACACCACAGAGCAGAGAAGGTATCACCATCTGGCATGAAGAGGCCAGGTAAACCTACCTGGCTTCTATGTCCCTGGAGATAGCTAATATCATCGAATTCCGCAAGAAATCTGCAAAAGGCCAAGGCCATCAGGGTTCACCTAACCTTCTCAAATAACCTAGCCAAATGGTGATAAGGGATGGTCCCCAGTCCAGCATCAGCAGATGCTCAGATCTCACCACTCAACTTCAGAAGCAGAACTGCCTGGGTGGATAGGAGTGGGGGTGGAGGTGGTGGTGAGGCAGAGGGGAGCCAGCAATCTGTTTTTACAAGCCTTCCAGATGATTCCGATACTCACAAACATTTAGGAACCATGACACTTGTCAATAGGAGCCCTCATGGCACAGTGGGTTAAACATTGGGCAGCTAACTGTAAGACTGGAGGTTCAAAACCCACCAGTCACTCCTTAGGCAAAAGATGAGGCTGTCTGGTTCCATAAAGATTTAATTTCAGAAACACTTAGCAGCAGTTTGATTCTACCCTAGGGGATCACTGGAAGTCAGAATGGTTTGGGCAGCAGTAAGCTGAGTGGGCCCCGGTCAACAAGGAGCCCTGGGAGTCTGGTGGTTAAAGTGCTCAGCTGTTAACTGGAAGAGATGGATGTGGTGGTTTGCTTATTTAAACATTACAGCTTTGGCAATCCTATGGGGCAGTTCTATGGGTCACAATGAGTCAGGATCAACTTAGCAACAGGTTTGTCCATGGAAAAAGTGAAAAATTGTCATATGAAAATAATTAAAAAGAAGAGACATTTTATAGTGAATCTTAATGGGGGTGAAAGATGGGGGGCGGGGCTATTCCATTTTACATCTTCAAGTCCAGTCCCAACTAATAGGCCAGTAACCCAGTTACTGTCGAGTTGATTCTGACTCATGGCATCCCCGTATGTGTGAGAATGGAACTGGACTCTGTGGTGTCTTCCATTGCTGATTTGGGGGGAGTCGATCAATAGGCCTTTCTTTAGAGGTATGTCTGCTTGAACGAAAACCTCCAACCCAGTAGCCAGGTGCTCAGCCATTTGTACCACAGGTGCTAACATTCTGTTGTAACAAATATTCATGATTCATCCTCCTTTACAGTAATTTAGATTCCCCAGTGCTGCGTACAACATGACCCCAGTACAGTACAATCTTTTCATTTATGATACAATGTTATGACTGGTACGAGATGGCGTGGGCTTTCTGCCTGGACTTGTACAGTGCTCTGCAGGTCGGTTCATCATGCTGTGGAATGAAGCCAGGGTATGGCCTGGGTCTGACAACGAGGATTTTCACTCTGCCTCAGGTTGGCAATTTTGATATCCAGTCCTTCAGTATCTACACACACCGGGGAAGGAAGGCAGTGCCAACGTGCTGAATCAGGCCCACGTCCTTCAGGGCTCGTGGGGGAAGGGTCACAAAACTAAAAGCTCCTGCAGGGCCAGGCCCAGGCTGCAACTACTGCTCATTTAACTTATCTTCCCTGTTGCCTTTCTAATTTCCGTGTCTCCCATGCCCTCTGCCCCTATGCCCTCCCCTTCACACAGTGTGTAGTGATGGTATGGGGCTGGAGCTAGGGGAAGGGTGGAGAACTACACCGGAAGAGGATTTTTCATAGCCTTCCTTGTACATGGCTTGGGCTCAACTGCCAAGCTAAAGGTTGGTGACTTGAACCTACCCAGAGGTACTGAAAAGCCCCATGGCATCGTGGGTAGTGCACTGAACTGCCATCATCAAGGTCAGCAGGTGGAATCCTTGGGAGGAAAAATGAAACTTTCTGCACCCGTTAAGATCCACAGCATTGGAGTCCCACAGGGACAGCTCTACGCTTGCCCCATAGGTTTGCTAGGAGTTGGAATGGACTTGCTGGCCGTGGGTTTAGGGTGTTTGCGACAGTGCTGTGGAAGGAAAGTCCTTGTGATTGACTCCTGTTACGGTGACAGCCAAGACCACTCTCTGGAGCAGTACTCCTCTGGAACACACAGGTCACAGTCAGCCGGAATTGCCTCCACACTGACCTATGTCTCAGACATAATTTCCTTCTACATGAGCTTGAAGCAATACTCAACTGACTTCCTTTGGGTTAGTGTCAGTCTGGGTTGACCAGAGAAACAAATCTGAGACACTCATCTATATATGAGAGAGAGCTTTGTATTAAAGGGCAATTGTTTATTGAGCAAACACCCAAGTCCTGTCCAGATCAAATCCATAAGTCCGATATTAGCCCCTATGTCCAAAACCAGTCTATAAATTCCTCTTCAGACTCACAAAACACATGCAATGACATGGAATGCAGGTCAGTGGGTGAAAAGTCTTGTGGACCTAGTAGTGGTGGAAGTATCTCAGCGCTGTAGGGGTCTCCATGGGGCTCCTCCAGCTCCAGGACTCTAGCTCCATCAGCGTAGCTCCATGTTTCTTGCAACAGGAATGTCTTGTAGGGAGAGTGTGTGTGCCCCGGCTCCAGGGAAGAAGACAAGAGTTCCCATAATCCTCAGGATAAGGCCATGCCCACACAGGAGTTGGCTGTGCCCTGATTGACAGGCTAGACTCCACCCCTTCACTCAAGTTGACAAATTATGTAACTGCCCCAGGCCCTATGGCTGCTCAGAATGAAAACGAACCAAACCCACTGCCCTGGAGTTGATTCCTACTCATGGAGACCCTCCAGGACAGGGAAGACCTGGCCCCTGTGGGTTTCTGAGACTGCCATTCCTTACAGGGGTAGAAAGCCCCATCTTTCTCCTGGGGTGTGGCTGATTTTGAAATGCGGATCTTGCAGCGAATAGCCCAGCGTGCAACCACTACACCACTAGGGTTGCTCACTGTTTATAAGATCTTCCAAACAATGGCCGATCGGCTTGGTCTTCATCTCCTTTTCACTAAGGCTGACCCCAAGGGAAATGATACAGCATCACCACCCCATCACCACCATTCATTCCACCCATCTCTACATCCAAGAGGCCCCGTCACTCCACTGGAGCCAGCTTGCTCGGACAGCCTCACTGGGGGCTGGAGAGGGGCTGGAGGATGTTGCGAAGCAGTGGCCTCACCTTGAGGTCCCTGTGGACGATGCCCATCCTGTGGAGATAGTACACAGCATCCAACACCTGGCGGATCAGGGTGCTGGCATCTTTCTCGGTGTAAAATCCCTTCTCCACGATCCGATCAAAGAGTTCTCCACCAGATACACTGTTGGGAGAAAACAAAAGAAACAAAGAATTCAGTGAATATTGAAAAGGACCCGTCTTCAAGGGCTGCAAGGAAAACAGTCAGCCCCTGCAGTGGGATACAAGAGTCACACTTTAATTTTAAATCGAATCCATCTTTGGGTTTCTAAGGCCCCCATCAATGGCCCCAAGGTCAAAAAATGAGCCCTAGTGATGCATTGGCTAAACCACTGAGCTGCAGACCCTAGGGTTGGCAGTTCAAACACATTAACCGTTTCGCAGTTGACATCTGCGGCATGCTGAAACCCTGGGGGCAGTCCTAGTCTGCCCTACAGGGTCTCTACGAGATGTTATCCACTTGATAATAGTTTGAAGTTTTTTTAATTCCCCAAAAGCTCTATTAGGGAAGCATGTCTAGGACATGAGGATACAAATGCCAGGGGTGGAGGATGGGTAGGAGGGACCAAAGGACTAGAAGCCAACCAGGAGCCAGGATCTAAACCGGAGAAGTCTGTCCTGCTGTGACAACAACCTTCCTATGGGCTGATGGCTCTGGCTGAGATGTCACTGGCACGCAGGCCTGGAAGCACTGGTCTTGCCAACAGAAGCCTGGGTTCTTTATGGAGACCTGCTCCTACTTTGCAAAGTGTGACAAATGAGCTCCTTGAATTTCCTTCCCAAACCAAACACGATTACGACTCACAGGGACCTGGGGCCCAGGAGGGGGCAGAGTAAAAGTGTCCCACAGGGTTCCCAAGGCGGTACATCTCCACAAATGCAGACTGCCTCTTCTTTCTCCCAAGGAGCGGCTAGTGGGTGACTCCCCTGAGATCTCCATAAATGAGAGGGTGAAACAGTCAACTATTGTCAACTGAGAGCAGTGACCTATCAATGCGTTGTCACTTTATTGAGGAGGATAATACTTAATTTTCATTTGCTTTGAATTTCAGAGAAATTCAAATTTCAGATTTCATTGAAAGAGACTTTTGAATTATCGTTATTTTTACATTTGTGGTGAGAAATCTAGGCTGGCATGGGTCAAGAAGCCCCGATAGACAATCCCTTTGCTTTGATAGTTTATGATGCTATGAGTTTAACCAAGAAATGCAACCACACAATTCTGAATAGAAACTAGCAACTTAACCTTTAAATTCTTCAAGCATAACCTAAGAAAAATATTGCTTCTTCCAAATAACTAACCTACCTTAAAAAAACCATCAAGGGGATATATTAGCCCTATTAAAAGACAGAAACACATTTTCCCAAACAAAATGAAAACAGGAGATTTATTTGAATTATTAAGATCATAACACAATTGCCAAAACAGCTTTCATAGCTTTAATAGATACAGTTAAAGATATTTCCCAGCAGTAGTGCACGTGCACACACACACACACACACACACACACACACACACATTGAGCTATGATTCATCGCCTGCAAGTCATGGCACTTAATGTGCAATAAATGGTCCACTGAAACCTTCTTTTTGAAAAACTAATAAAGAAGGAGCAATTGCAGATATAAAATGCCCATGGGTTAGAGCCTCCTCCCATTACCTGTAGTCATCCCAGGCAAAACTGGGCTTGGATCATGACATCATCTTGTTTCCAAAGCAAACAGCAATCTTGGTAAGGAGAGAGTGGCTCTCATGGGAAAGAAAAAGCGATCCAAAGAGTGAAAAGAAATGGAAACAACAGAGGAGAAACTTCACTTGGATGACCACGCTGTCAAAGTGCCCCAGATCCCAAGACATGGGCCACCTGTCAGCAACCACCAGCAAATTCTCTCCATTTCTTATTTCTCTAGAGCTTTTCACCCAGAAGGTCAATGCCTGAAACTCTGCAGCCCACCAGGATGGACTGTGTGAGATGCACTACTCCTAGGGGCAGGGTGCTCCCAGATGCTGAGGGAACTCGCTTACTGAGTGATCCAACTGCCTACTCCACGAATGGTGGCCAGCAGCATTACGTGCCAGCTGCCTTGCCCCTGACGCACATGATGCATTGCACTGGGCAACTCAGCATCAGACTTCTTTACAGTGTTGCACAGCAAAGGTCACTGAGGGCTAAGGAGCGCTTGAACTCGGCCATTCCCCTCCCATGCGTGTGAAAGGTGGACAATGGGCAAGGGAGACTGGAGAAGAACTGATGCATTTGAAGGATGAAGGATTCTGAAAGCACCTTGGACTGCCAGAAGGAGAAATCTGTTTTGGAAGATGTACAGCCAGAATGCTCCTTAGAAGCAAGGATGATGAGACTTTGTCTCATGTACTGTGGACCTGTTGTCAGGTGAGACCAGTCCCTGGAGAAGGACATCATGCTTGGTAAAGGAGAGGGGTAGTGAAAAAGAGGAAGGCTCTCAAGGAGATGGGTTGACCCCGGGGCTGCAACAGTGGGCTCAAACATGAGAGCCATTGAGAGGATGGTGCAGGACCAGGCAGTGTTTGTTTGCTGTACATTAGGGTCATGATGAGTCAGTAGCAATTGATGGCACCTAAGAACAGCTACACCACCTTGTTCACTTGGTGGCTGTGGCAGGTAGGTTTTCTGGGCCAACATGGCTCCTGTAGGAACATGTGGGCAGAGAATAGCCTGTCAATCAGATTGCAGGTTAACTGGAGAGCAACCGAGACAACTGGCTCTTTGAGGTGGGACCCTTTCTCCTTGGTGGCTGGACCAGTGTGCTGCTGCCTGAGTAAGCTGCTCTGCCTCAACTGTGGGCTGTGCTACCTGCGAGCCGAGCCAACCCATGGATCATGGAGGATCGTGTTGTAGTGCTATGCTACACCTTAACGTTCCATCAATCAGGACCTGCTTCACCACGCTGCTGCTGCTACTGCGGTGCTACTGGCCTTGGCTACACCTCAACACCTCTTCTTTCTTCTGTTGTCGCCCCACCTTGCCATGCCTGCTGCCTGCGAACCAACTCTACTAGTCCTGGAGTCTTGGACCTCCCACCAGCTACTTTGCTGTCTATTTCCTTGATCTTGGACCAGCGGCCAGCGTGAGTTGGAGGGACCTTCAGTATACCAACTGCCCTACAAAAGTGAATTGGACTGAGCCCTCTGTACTGCAGTGTGGACTAATTAGCTGTTGTATTCCTTCTCACTATATAAACCGATCCCTCCTATATATAATCATAAGTATCCTGGTTTTGTTTCTCTAAGGAACCCTGCCTAACACGTGGGAATTAAAGCAGCATTATCCATGAAGGAGAAAAAGTCCATTTTAATTGTCTCCCTCAATATCCTCTACAATTGATCCCTATCTTCCAACAATATGACCCCTTCCTAGTTTTCTTTTTTAAAATCATTTTATTGGGAGCTTTTACAGGTATTATAACAATCCATAATTCAACTAGTTCAAGCATCATTGTACAATTACTGCCATCATCATTTTCAAAACACTTTTTTTCTTCTTGAACTCTTTGATCTCAGTTCCCCTTTATCTCCTCCTTCCCCACCCTACTTCCTTATTCTTATATTATAGTTATTATTTTCCACAGCTCATACCATCCACTGCATCGGTTCTCCTACAATTCTGTTAGTCGTCACCCC